CACAGCCTCATCTGGGATTGTAAAATCCAGGGAGTCCAGTCCCAAGGTGACATCACAGGGGCAGGTCCACTTCCCTAGGATCCAGAACCAGGTCATTTGCTTTTTGCCCTGAATTCTGTCTTTTCTAGGTTTGTGAGAGATATCAAAAGTTTACTTCTAGAAGAATTTACTTATTTTAGGTTAAGGACTAGGACTTAATCTAGAACCCCAAAATGGGACTCCTCAGATGGGGTTCCCACAAGGCATGGAGCTCTAGGCTAATTGCTTTGCAATTTCAAAGAAGAGGTTTGGGGATTCCAGCAGAGACCAGACCAGGGAGCACATCTGGGCACCTGCGCTTTTATAGACCTGAGTTCGCATCTGGGATTCATTGTCTTCTCGGCTTCTTTTCTGTGGCATCTGGGAGCCCAGGCAACAGAGGCAGGGAGGAAGGTGTAGGGTGGCAGAAGCCACTGTGAGTTGAAGGAGCATTTGGCACCTGCTTGAGCAGAAGTTGTCAGAGGACCAGAGTTCTGGTCCCTTTCCTCTTGAGCTGACCCAAGGTAGATGTAGGGACAAGGTGCGACGGAGCTTTTCTCGACTGGCTTTTGCAGATTCTTACAGCCATGAATTGCCCGTGACATCCACATCCTAAAATGTGTTGCTGGAAATTACATCTGCTGCCTGTTGACAGATGCAGAGTAGGATTTGGGAGATCCAGAGAGTTGTAGGGGAAGAGTAGGGTGGTTTGGGGAAAGGGGCTCAGGCGATAGGGAGTGTCTGCAGTCCTGCCTGGTTCTGTGGAATCACAACCAGCTTCTGGTTTATTGAAGGGACAGAAGCAGGGGTGTGTGACCTCTGCTACAAGCTGATTCATGAAGTCACTTTCTCAGGTTTCAGAATTTGCGTAAAGGATGTGAGGGTTTTTTTGCTCTGATTTTCTGTGGTTTCTCCCTAACCGAGAGCCAGGAATGGAGAGGAAGATATTGTGGAAACCTGTTGAAATAACCAGCGCCTATGCAGAAGGCATAAACTGTTGAAGGGCAGAATCATGGGGGACATGGTTTTAATGGAGACGAGTTTGCAAAAAGGGTCCATTTGGTGTTAGATCTGAAAGGATTAGGTGTGGGGTGGTGAGCAGTTATTCTGGCACTCTTGTGTTGCTCATACTTGAACCCCATTTTTGGACCTATCTCAGGCTAGGATACTTTCAGTCCGCATCAGCAGTAACAAGTGCCCTGTTACCTTTATCAGCACTCTCCAGCTTACAGAGCCCTTCCCCATATGTGAGTGCACCCCAGTTTCCCGACAAAGAAACTGGCATTGGATCCAGTCTTACATTTGCCTGAGTAAGGAAGAGAGTGGTGGATCTGACACCAACTGCTTGCTACCACATACCCTTGGCAGGTTACTTACTCTGCTGGCTGAGCCTTGGCTTCCTCAGAAAACCAAGCATTAAATAACATAAGGGACCTCCCTGGTGGCGCAAGGGGTTAAAGCACAGCACTGTGAATCTATCCCCAGCTTCTGCAACATGAGTTCGATCTCTGGCCGGCCAGGGAGCTACCCACATGGCACAGCAGACCTCTCCTTCCTCGCCCGCTGCTCCCCTCAGCAGTGTATTTCAGTCGATCTGCCTGTTCTGTTCCCCACTCTGTCTCTGGTGACTCTTCTCACATCCCTCCCCCCACCTCTGGCCTGTACCCCAGTTCTTGTTTGTCTAAATAAATAAATCTTTAAAACAAAATAACATAACATATGTAAATGCCAGGTAAGGTGGGTTCTTTGGTTCTTTTTCTTTCTTTCTTTCTTTCCTTCCTTCCTTCCTTCCTTCCTTCCTCGCTCTTTTTTTTTGATTGATTTATTTATTTATACAAGCACTGGGTACAGTCAGAAGTGCGGGAGGGCGAGAGAACCCACCAGAGCCAAAGCGGGGAACAGAACAGACAGACTGACGAAGTACACTGCAGAGGGGAGCAGCAGGCATGGCAGGAGAAATCTGCGTGCCATGTGGGACCCTCGCCAGTGGCCGGGGATCGAACTGGCGCTGCAGAGGCTGCGGGCAGCTTCGCAGCCCAGCGCTCAACCGCTGCGCCACCAGGGGAAGCCCAAGGTGGGTTCTTAATAAATGCTGTTGCCCAGTTGTTGTTCCTCACCAGTGGTTACAGAGCCTGAACTTGAACCTGGCTGTTCACTCACAGATTTGCATGTACTCAGCAGTGCAGGTTAGTCCTCTTTCATCATAAGCCGCGATGGGTCCTGTATAGCCAGGCGATGGGACTGAACATAGAAACGTCTGTTTTATTTCTCTGATAATGGCTGACTTGCAGACAAGTGGTTTGATACAGTTAGTGTCGCCTTCAACTCTCCAAGTCCTTTTATTTGCTCAACACGTTTGTATTGGCCTCCTACGGTGTGTCAGGCACCGTGATCTCTTCCTTAGTGACTTTTAACATCTTTGGTAGTTGCAGACCTTTGTGGATTCTTTTGAGAAATATGGAAAATCATAACCCCTCTCCTCGGAAAACTTTCTAATGTTTTGTTTTGCTGAAACATTTAAAAGTTTCAGTCATGAAGTCCTAAATACTGCAGCATGCGTTGCCTTAAAAAATGGACATTCTCATATATAACCTCAATAAGTACCATTTAAAAATAAATACTTTAATTTTCTCAAATTTTACTAATTTATATTTTACATAACTATAATTTCAGGGATACATTTTCACACCCCCATATATATAGGTGCTTTGCTCACCCTCCACCAAACCCCACTTCATGTCCTGTCCCCCTTCCTTCCTCATTTCCTCCCTCCTCCCCTGTTCTCCTGGTAACCAGTGTAGTTTTCATAAGGTCTAAGTTCTGTTTGCTGTATTTTTTTTCTTTTTTCTTTTTAATTTATTTATGCATACAAGAACTGGGGTACAGGCCAGAGGTGCAGGGGGTGAGAGGATTCACTAGAGACAGAGTGGGGGGCAGAACAGACAGACTGACTGAAATACACTGCTGAGGGGAGCAGTGGGCAAGTCAGGAGGTCTACTATGCTGTGTGGGTTGCTCCCTAGCCGGGGATCGACCTTGTGCTGCAGTGCTTGCGGATAGCTTCATAGGCTGTGTCTTAACTCCTTGCACCACCAGGGAGGCCTCACAAGTTTATTTTCTTTTGTTGTTTATATTCCACAAATTAGTGATACCATTTTGTATCTGTCTTCTTTCACTTAGCCTAATCACCTCAAGAGCTATCCATTTTGTCTCAAAAGATACTGTGTCATCTTTATAATTAACTGAGTAGTATTCTGTTGAGTATATATTCTAGTTTTCTTTATCCATTTTTGGTCACTGGGCACTTAGGTTGGTTCCATGACTTGGTTATTGTGAATAATGTTGATATGAACATAGGAAGGCACAAATCTTATTTAAAGATTATATTATATTAGAGTTTTTATATTCTCTTATATTCTAGCAGTGATGTTTATTTATAGGTTTATTTATTTTTGCGTTGAAGAACTGGGGTATAGGCCAGAGGTGCAGAGTGGGGGGGGTGGGTATAAGAGGATTCACCAGAGACAGTGGGGAACAGAACAGGCAGAATGACTGAAATACACTGCTGAGGGGAGCAGCAGGTGAGACAGTAGGGGTCTGCTGTACCATGTGGGTTAGCCCCCTTGCTGGGGATTGAACTCAGGCCACAGCAGTGATAGTGCTGTGACTAGGCCACTAGGGAGGCCCTCACTATCTCTTGCTGCCACCTTTTCCATTCTTACACTCTGTGCTTTGAATATTCCCTGAATTTGCTCCTAGATTTTTCCTCTGTACTATGCTCGTGCTTAATATTTTCAACAGAATTCTTTCACTCAACCCACTTTGAAACCCTTGAGGCTAAGTGTCATTCTCCCCATTCTATGGCTCAGTAAACTGAGGCTCAGGGTCCTTCATAAGCTCTTTTGTCACAGAGTCAGGGCTGAAGGCAGTCATATGTGCTGGGCTCCTAAATGCAGCCAGGAATTGTGCTGGGGCTACAAAAGTGGTTGGGACTGACATCCTCTCTCTGCTCAGCGATGTGTTCCCCCTGAGCGTGGCACCCTCATTAGCACATGCAGCCCCCAGACTATATCTCCTATATGGGTTTCCTTCACCAGCTCAGCCTGGACGGTCCACCATTGTGAGCAGCAGAGCATGAATGGTGGCTGAGAATGAATGCAGTGTGGCCAGACCATGCTCCTGGCAGGCGGAGGCCAAGTGGAGTCGGCATCTAGGGGAAGTGAACCACACCGAAGCCACCTCACAGCCCAAGAAGGAGTCCACAAAGGAAGGCACTAGGCGCTTGATGCTTCTTGAATCTGGGTCAGGAGGCTCGGTGCTCTTGGTGCTTGCCACCAGAAACCTGGAAGGGCAGACAGAGGGGCTCTTGCCTGTCAGGGCTCCTTATGAAGAGTTGTGCACCTTGTGCCCAGCACAGCTGAGGGAGCACTGTGTGCACACTGCACAATGTAGACTTGTGTGTTTATTAGGACAGTTTCCAGCAGAAAGTTACCGGGGTATCTTGCTCTGTCAGTTGGTAGGAATGCTGTCTACTCTGTCAAGCTGCCCTCTGCGGCCTAAGTTTCCTCCTCTGTAAAATGGTCCTCTGGTACTGTTGGGGCCTTGTAGGAGCTGTCGGTGTGACTGGCTGTTGCTGGAGCTGGTGGCCCTGTGCCAGGCAGCACCTCTGCCTCTCCTATGTGCCCACTCCTGACTCTGTGTCTTTTTTTTAATAGAGGCACATGTTTTATTTATTTATTTATTTGTTTGTTTGTTTGTTTTGTTTATACATGCACTGGGTACAGTCAGAAGCGCGGGAGGGTGAGAGAATTCACCAGAGCCAGAGCGGGGAGCAGAGCAGGCAGAAGGACCGAAGCACACTGCTGAGGGGAGCAGTGGGCGGCAGGAGAGGTCTGCGCGCCATGTGGGACCCTCCTCCGGTGGCCGGGGAGCAGCCGGGGATCGAACCGGCGCTGCAGAGACTGAGGCAGCTTTGCAATCCAGCGCTCAACCGCTGCGCCACCGGGGAGGCCCCCTGACTCTGTGTCTTATCCCCAAGGAAGAGAGGACCTCACTAGTGAAGAGGGAACCCTCAGAACCGAGGACACCATGGCTGCGTCAGCCCCTCTGCGGACCCTGGAGGAGGAGGTGACCTGCTCCATCTGCCTCAATCACCTGCGGGACCCGGTGACCATCGACTGTGGCCACGTCTTCTGCCACGGCTGTACCACTGACATCCCCTCGTTCATGCGCAGCCGCCCCATCTGTCCCCTCTGCAAGAAGCCTTTTAAGAAGGAGAACATCCGGCCTGTGTGGCAGCTGGCCAGCCTGGTGAAGAACATCGAGCGCCTGAAGGTGGACAAGGGCAGGCAGCAGGGAGAAGCGGCCCAGGAGCAGTCGGACGTGCAGCTGTGCGAGCGGCACCAGGAGAAGCTGTACTACTACTGCGAGGACGACGGGAAGCTGCTATGCGTGATGTGCAGGGAGTCGTGGGAGCACAGGTCCCACACGGCCTTCCTGATGGAGAAGGCCAGGTAGCTGCACAAGGTAAACCCTCCTCACAGCGGGGTGCTCTGCCACCCCCTTAGGATCTTGGCTCTGAACTCCTCTGGAGTCAAGCCTGGCTGAGACCCTCTGAAAGCTTCCTGTTGGCTGAGAACTAAGCCCAAGTCTGCCCTCCCGCCCCAGCCCAGCGTGTCCACCTGTCCCACTGCCTGTTTTTCTACAGGAAAATATCCTGAAACACCTGAGTAGCTTAAGGGAAGACCGAGACAAAGTTCAGAACTTACAGACAAAGGGAGAATCTGATATCACAGGTACTCTGGTAAGTCACGCTGTTAGGAGAAGGCCCCAGATTATTGGCCTTGGGAAGCAGGGGTGCAGCTGGGGCATTGCGGGGCTGGGGTATTGCTGGGAGGCAGCTCAGCACCTGGGAGGGTGAGCCCCTGCCAGGTGGCTGGGAGCCCTGGGGTATGAGCCCAAGCCTGCGAGTGTGAGCCGTGTGGCTTTTGGTCTGTTTCCCCATCTGACAGTGACCAGTCTAGAGGTCAGCCGAGGTCTCTTCTCTGTGACTCACCTCTGCTGCAGGTTGTGGCTGGTAGCTGCTGCTGGTCTGCAGAGGGCGCCAGTGTGGGGAACTGAGGAAGGCCTGGTTTGTTCTTTAAAGAAGGGGAGGAAGACAGGATTCCTGAGTTTGGAGGGGAGCCAGATGGCTTGACAAGGAAGGAACTGGCTTCAGGGGAGTACCTGAGTCTAACCAGTGTAGGCGGGCACACCCTGACCATGGTGGGGAGAGTTGGAAGCAGGAAAAGAGACAGACATTCCACACTTCCAGTGACAGAACAGAAGGCAGGCTCCATGGCAGGGATGGAATACATTCAGGTATTTTACACATTAGGAGGGAGCTGAAGGGAGGATAGACTGGGCTTGGATGAAGTTAGCTAAGGAAAGCTTCCTGAGAGGTGGCAGATCAGTGTTCAGGAAAGAAGGGTGCTGGCTCTCAGAGTTCCTTAAAAGGCCATGGAACATACCAGGTTACCTGGAATAGAGTGGGCTGACCATGTGCTGTCAGGAGACCAAACAGATTTACTTACTGTGTCTTTGAGGCTGGGTGCTGAGAATTGGTGAATGGAGGTAGATAGCGGGGAAGAGCCAGCTTTGTGTACCTCCTGGAGGGATTTTTCACCTAAGGCAGCAGCGTCACCGTCACCCCTCCCCGCCCTTCCATTCCTGTAGGAGAAGCTGCAGGAGCAGAGGGAGGAAGAGCATCATGGCTGAGTTTGAGCAAGGCCATCAGATCCTGAGGGAACAGGAACAACACCTGCTGGACCAGCTGGGGAAGCTGGGGCAGGAGCTCATATAGAACAGGGAGCAGTACAAAGCCAGGAGTGCTGAAGAGTTCGCCCGGCTGACACAGGTCATCTCTGAGCTGGAGGACAAGGCACAGCAGCCGGCTGCAGAGCTCCTGCAGGTGAGAGACCTCCCCAGGGCTGGGCCCCTGTCACCTGCTTGCAGGACCATGGAGAGCCTCTTCCTCTCAGGGCCTTATGTTTTCATCTGAACCCTGGGGATGATAATCCTTACCCACCCTACTTATTCCAGTGGCCACATAAGCCTCCAAGAGATAACTGGCATGGTGTCACTTCAAAAGCTAAATTTTCACCAAAAATGTTTAAAATGCTAAAAAGTACTGTAGGAATAGAAGGAAAAGTTAGTATTTTCTTTACTGTCTTCATTCTCATCACTATGATCATGAGCCTGTTGGAACAAGTCATTGGCAGTCACTTGACCAGTACTGGCTTTTTATGGATCTGGAGATAAAGAAGCTTGCAGCGTCGGGGCTTAACTGTGGCTTCTCTCAAAGACCCCAAGGATCTAGAGTCAATGGGCAACTGAAGAAGGGAGATAGATGACTGAGGTTTTCTTTGGGACTGTAGAGAATTACCCTCAGAGAAAAAGGTGCGTGGGGAGCGGGCAGTCCTTCTTGGAGGAAGCAGCTTCGATGCTGAGAAGGGAGAGCTGTGGGCTGGAGTGCAGGGTGCCAGTTTGAAACAAACGACAGCTCACTCTGGATCCTCACACGTCCCTGAATGGGGCTTGGGCCTTCAGAGAGGGGCTGCTAGATCTTTCCACCCTCAGTGGCCAGAGAAGGCCATGGGTGGTCTTCTCACTTGTGTGGTTTAGGCTGACTAGGCCTGTCTGCTGCAGCAAACCACCCAAGGTCCCCCCTAGGAACTGTTGTCCCTGGCCAGCGGCAGTCTCCTAGAGTCAGCCTCGTCTGCCTCTCCATCATGGGTCTAGCTGGGGCATCAGGCTTGCAGGGATTTAGGACTCTGCTCTCCAAGGGCCGGAGAGCTGAAGGGGGTCTGTCCCAGACCAGGAGGGAGGTCAGGAATCCAGCCTAAGCCTCCATCCAGGTGGCCTGACTCCCAAACCTCTGTGCTCTTGTTCTTGTCTCTTTTGGTCCCAAATGTCTCCCTGGCTCCCTCCAGGTACGTGCTGTTCCTCTCAGACTCGGCCTGGTCCACTTGCTCCCTCTCCCCCTCCTCTTCTCCTTCCAGCTCAGGGACACAGATCCCTCTTTCCCTGTAGCCGCCTCCCTGTGTGGTGCCCTTGCTCCTGGAACAGAGGATCATGGCTGGGGGTACTGGTGGGGTCTGCCCAGAGGGCATCCTCACCCCAATTCACCCAAAAAACCTTGTGGGCCAAAAGAGGCCCGGCCTTTAGTGCTTCGAGACCATTCAAACTGGGAGAGAGGAGGAGGTACGAGGAGAGGAGAGAAAGTGGGTGTCTACTTAAAACCAGTGCATGGAGTGTTGTACGGATGGGTTTTTGTTTGCGTGTTTGTTTTGGTTTGCTTTTGCTACAAGGAAGTGGGACCGCTGACTTCCTCGTTGCTGTTAATATTTTCCCAGACAGTAAGAATAAGACCTGATTAAAATAGAGGCCTGATTCAAAAGTCTGGTAGAGAAATTCAGGTGAGAGCAAGAAGCAGCAAGACAAATGATGTAAAACCGTCCTTTCAACAAAGGTGATAGACAAAGAAAGATCAATGGGCTAGGACAGTGTTAAATCAGGACAGTGTTGAAGGACAAGCGTGCGGAGGTCAGAGACCTCCTCTGTCAGATACTGGTCAGACACCGACATTCTCCCTATGCAGTCCTGGATGGCGTTTAGGGGTCAGGTCACACTCTGCCTCCTTCACTGTGGGTCACCGTCCACCTATGTGTGAAGAACCTTCCCGAGTGCTCTTGTTGACACCCACGTGTGTCCCATGCCAGAGGTGGGCCCTGACTGCTGTCCCCACTTCAGCTCTCCTCTTGATTACCCCAGGAGTGTCAGGGTGGTAGTTCCTGAGCAGGCCGCTTCCCTTGGAGGCCCTGTGATGGCTGCAGGTTGCCTTGGGCACCCCATCTCCCCTTCTGTGTGTGGGAGGATTCCTGTACCTGTCTGTATTCCTATATTGGTCCCTCTCTGCACTGCTCACAACCTTTAACCTTAGATAGCCTCATTCTCTCCCTACTGTTCTAGCAACTTCCATGTCACAGAATATGCCCATTGACACCACCCCCCAAGCCCTTCTCCCCACACTGCCTATTCATTTACTCGTTTACACAGCATTTCTCCGGGGATAAAACTCATGCTGCAGTGGCTGTGGACAGCTCCATAGGTTGTGTGTTAACCCCTTGTGCCTGCAGGGAGGCCCATCAGCAGACTTTTTGGCACACATTTTGTCAGAGCTGTCGTCCATTCCCCTGAAGCTGCCTTGAACTTACTTGTTTTAAGGTACAGATTAGAAGAATTTGGCAGAAACTTACAACCAGTCTCTGGGCTACTGTTTCATTGTGGGGATGGGGATGTCATGATTTCTTACATGGCTGCCCCTGGAGCAGACCCCCACATTCCTCCTGGGACTTTGAAACAGCAGCAGCCACAATTTGGTGCTAATGTAACCAACAAACACTTTGGCTAAAGCTGTAGACTGTTAACAGATGGTGCTCCCTGGTGGGGGTTGCTGGTGAGGATAGATAGCCCCAGGGAAAATGCTAAAAAGTGGGGTGGAGCAACAGATGAGTGATTTAAGTGACTGCTGGAGGAAGCTTCCTGATTCAGCTTTTCAGGATTTAGTGTGAGGGGTCAGTAGATTCTGGCCCTGAAATACCCTCAGGGCGACTGTCCCTGAGTTGTTATCAACTGTTTTCCATCTGGTTGTCCCACTAACTTCTTGGAGTGTATTCTTAGTGTCGTAGTCAAAGTTGGGTTCACCACCACCACCACATCCAGAATTCAGACGAGGAATAAAAAGCAGTTTCATTATTATAAAGGCTGTTACCCCAAAATTGCAGTCATTGGTTCCTTTCACATCCATTTGACTAGAATTTAGTTGCATGATCAGATCTGGTTACAGAGGAATCTGGAAATGTCTTTTGTTGGGTGGCATCTGCCCAGCTATTATTCAGGGGCTCTATACTAAAAAGAAAATGGGGGACTCTCTGGTGGTCCAGTGGGTTGAGTGCAGCACTGTGAAGCTGTCCTGCAGCGTGGGTTCGATTCCCAGCTGGCCAGGGAGATACCCACATGGCGCGGCAGACCTCTTCTGTCTCACCCGCTGCTCCCCTCAGCAGTGTTTTTTGTCCGTCTGCCTGTTCTGCTCCCCACTCTGTCTCTAGTGAATCCTCTCACTCTCCCACGCCTCTGGCCTGTACCCAGTTCTTGTATAAATAAATAAATCCTTAAAGTTTTTAAAAAAATAAAGAAAAAAGAGAAAATGGAGGCTGGATCCTGGGTATTACTTAGTAACCTCAACCACATGCCAATTAGACTACATATACATATCACATATATTCCTTCTTGAAAACCCTTTGCTGGCTTTGGTACATAGAACAAAATTTGAACGCCTTAGTAGGCCTCCAGCCCTGCCTGATCTGGCCCTTGTCTTCTTTGCCAAAACATTCCCACCTGCCTTCTTCCCTTCCTGTCACTACCTTCTCCCTCTTCAAGTCTCAGCACAAGTGCTATCACCCCAGAGAAGTAGGCCTGGTACCCCTACCTCCATTTTCCCTGTCACTGGGATTATTTTGTGTTTTCTTGTTCTATCCAGTGCTGCCACTGGAATGGCAGCTCCCTAAGCAGGGGCCTTGCTTGTCTGGTCATTGATGCATCCCTGGTCCTAGTACAGTGTTGGGACATTTGAAGGAAATCTTCATTCTCATTGATGCTTGTGCTTCCCTTCCAGGACTCCAAAGACATCTTGAACAGGTAAAAGCTTCCTTTCCACTATGTACCTCCTTCCCCTGTGCCTCTGCCCCTCCCCCTTGACCCACTTAAATTAATGGGGATCAATAAAGTTCCTGAATCCCATGATTCATCCTGAAGGCCTTTCCTCTCTGAAGCAGAGCAAATCCTTGAGAACTGGAGTCTTGCTCTCCACCCGAGCAAGTTCTCTGTGTATCCCCTTCTGACCCTCTCTGTGTCTGAGACGGGGAGAGGGTGGCTTTATAGACAGTACTCGGCAAATGGTCTCCTGCCTGTCCTGAGCCCTGACTCAACCCTGGGTAGTTCCTTGGTATCTTTGAGGCCTGTTTTTTCTGTGCATTGACAGGAGATATCATTCTGTTTCTTAAATATTGCCATGAGGACTGAGTGGAATAAAGAGGAGGAAGTAACAGATTGTGCCTGCCTCCTCTCAGGTTACCCCGGAAGGTCTGGACTGAGATACCCTCTCTCCAGTAGTGAAGAAGAGAGCACTCTCAGATAAGCTTCTGTCTCTGCAGCAAGGCCTGCAAGAGTTCCAAGGTAAGTGTTGGCACAACTCCAGGTGGGAGCCAGGAGCTAGGCGCCACTTTAAGGGAGGAGACTGGCTCCTCCATTGTTCTTGAGCTCAGTCCTGACCCCTCATTCCTCTCCTGGTTGTTTTCTCTTCTGGGATCCCAGGAGGGAGCCCTGGTCATGAAATAAAGACTGAGTAAGAAATGGACTTTCAGTTTGC